TGAGCTGAGCTTGGCGGGGCCAGGATAAACTAAGCTGGGATGAACCGGGTTAGACTGGATGAGGTAGGCTGGAATGGTCAGGTGGGCTGAGCTGGAAGGGGCTGGATTGAGCTGAGCTGGGATGCACTTGGCTAGGCTGGAATGGATTGAGATGAGTTAGGCTAAAGTCAGCTAGGCTGGGCTGACTGAGCTAGACTAGAATGGGCTAGCTGAGCCGGTCTGGGACAGCATAAACTGAGCTAGGCTAGGCTAATTGGGCTGGCTAGACTGGGCTGGCCTGAACAAGGCTGAGCTTACTTAGACTAGGCTGACTAAGAAAGGGTTGCGTTGAGCTAAGTTACACTGAGCTGTCTTAGCTAGGCTGAACTAGGTTAGATGAGCTGTCTGAGCTGGCCTAACATGGGCTGAGCTGAGATGAACTCAACTAGACTGGGGTGGACTTGCTGAACTGAGCTGAGCTAGACTGAGCTGGACTGAGCTAGACTGAGCTGGACTGAGCTGAGCTAGACTGAGCTAGACTGAGCTGGGCTGAGCTGGACTGAGCTGGGCTGAGCTGGGCTGGGCTGGGCTGAGCTGGGCTAAGCTGGGGTGAGCTGGACTGAGCTGGGCTGAGCTGGGCTGGGCTGAGCTGGGCTGAGTTAGACTGAGCTGGGCTGAGCTGGGCTGGGCTGAGCTGGGCTGAGCTGGGCTGAGCTGGGCTGAGCTGGGCTGGGCTGAGCTGGGCTGAGTTAGACTGAGCTGGGCTGAGCTGGGCTGGGCTGAGCTGGGCTGAGCTGGGCTGAGCTGGGCTGGGCTGGGCTGGGCTGAGCTGGGCTGGGCTGAGCTGGGCTGGGCTGGGCTGAGCTGGGCTGAGCTGGGCTGAGCTAGGTTCAGTCAGACTGGGATGGACTGGATGATCTTGCTGGCCTGGGCTAAACTGAGCTGAGCTAGGATGGAATGGGATAGGCTGAGCTGAGTTGAGATGGTTCTGTTGGGTTGATCTTGCTGAGCTGGGTTTATCTGGGTTCAGTTGGTCTTGCTAGGGTGAGCTGGTCTAGATTATCTATTTGTGCTGGCCAGAAAGGGCAGAGCTAGGATGGGATCAGGCTAAACTGTGCTTGGCTGGTTAAGATGAGCTAATGTAAGTTAGGCTGCCTGAGCTGGGCTTGGTTATGAGCTGGGCTGAGATAAATTAGGCTGGTTGGGCTTGTTCAGTTCTAGTCTAAGCTTTGCTGTGTTGTTAAGCTCAGTGCTGATGTCACTGGCAAACTTTAGACTAAATGTAGACCAACCTCTGTTTCATGACTCAAGCTTGCTCCGTTTATTTTACATGAATGGGGGACAGACAGCTCAGTATCCATTTCTCGCACCCTCTTCTCCTTCCCCCATTGCCTGGTGGAAATTCAAACCTACCTGTAGGTAGCACCTGCACAGCCGAGGCAGTGCTCAGATTTAGGCCTCTGTTCTTGAGGGTCTAGTGCTTGTTAGGTGGATGGGTAGGGTGGTAGAGTGATGAGTGACAGGTCCGAAGCCCTGACAAGGCAAGTGTAAGGTGAAAACTCAAACAAAATGGCCTTCTCCTCCCCAGTGAACCTTCCAGCCAGCTCTTTCCTGACCACCCCTACTCTGTGGGGCTGAGCTGCAATCTCGGGTTATTCATTCCTGCCAGGGCCCACCAGTTATGATCCTCCAAACCCTGGGATAGAGAGCATGGCTGTGACCACTGCCCAAACAGGAGTGGGCTCAGAAATCCGGAGCACTAAGTTGCCCAGTAGCATAGTCATGTTTATAAAGACACTTACAGTATGTAAAAAGTCCTGCCCGAGGCATTTGGCCCGGTCCTTGCAAAAGACTGCCTGAAGGTCTTGTTCCAAACTCTGAAGCCAGATCAGCTCCAAGTGTAGACACATGACACAGCTGCTGTGTGAGGCTGGGCTCGGTTCTCCAACGTAAAGAAGAGAAAGGCATAGCCCTGTCCCCAGAAACTGTCTCGAGATGGGCAGTGGGGAGACTGCCATCTCACTCATGTTCTGTGTTCCAGAGCCCGAGAGAAAACCCACCATCTACCCACTGAGCCTCCCACGGTCTATGGCAGAGGACCCAGTGGTAGTCGGCTGTCTGATAAAGGATTACTTCCCATCTGGAACTATGAATGTGTCCTGGAGCAAGAGTGGTGCTGGTGTGACAACCATAAACTTCCCACCCGCCCAGGCCTCTGGGGGCCCGTACACCATGAGCAGCCAGTTGACCCTGCCAGCCTCCCAGTGCCCTGCTGAACAAACTGTGACATGCTCCGTGCAACATGACTCTAACCCCACCGAAGACGTGACAGTGCCCTGCACAGGTGATCATCTGGGGGTGGAATAAGCCCTACCCTAACCTGGTATCAGGATCCATGTCCCCCCATCAGGGAACCTCGGAAGCCTCTAAAGTGGCTTTTCTGGCCAGTCCGTGGAGGGGGCACAGATAGGCCACGGGGAGCTGAGGCCCAAGGACACCCAGAGAAGGGGACAGGGAAGGAGAAAGGAAGAGTGTGCTGATTTTCTAGGACTTCTCTTTCAGTTCCTCCTCCTCCTCCTCCTCCTCCTTCTCCACTTCCAAACTGCCAACCCCGCCTGTCACTGAGCCGGCCAGCTCTTGCGGACCTGCTACTGGGCTCAGAAGCCAGCCTCACGTGTACGATAAGTGGCCTGAAAACAACTGAGGGAGTCGTGTTCACCTGGAATCCCACCACGGGGAAGGATGCGGTGACAAAGGAACCTGTGCAGGACTCCTGCGGCTACTATAGTGTGTCTAGTGTCCTGCCTGGCTGTGCTGAGCGCTGGAATAAAGGGGAGGCCTTCACATGCACAGTTTCTCAGCCTGAGTCTGGGACCCTGACTGCCACAGTTGTCAAGGAGAAAGGTGGGCCTATATGCACTCTGGGGCGTTGTACGGAAATTCCACGCTTACATGGCTGCCTCCTCCCTCTAACACCCTTGTGTCGCAGAGGGAAACTGAGGCTGTCTGAGGGACTGCCCAGAAGGGAAGTGCGGGCGGGCGGAGGGGGCGGGGTCCACTGATCTCCTTCTCTGAGCCATCTCTTCTCTCTGCCTCCCAGACCCACTCCCACCCCAGGTCCACCTGCTACCGCCGCCGTCGGAGGAGCTGGCCCTGAATGAGCTGGTGTCCCTGACATGCCTGGTACGAGGGTTCAAGCCCGAAGACGTGCTGGTGCGTTGGCTGCATGGAAACCAGGAGCTGTCCCACGAAAACTACCTAGTGTGGAAGCCCCTGGAGGAGCCAGGCGAGGGTGCCACCACCTACGCGGTGACAAGTGTGCTGCGTGTGTCAGCCGAAAACTGGAAACATGGTGACAACTACTCCTGCATGGTCGGCCACGAGGCTTTGCCCATGGGCTTCACCCAGAAGACCATCGATCGTCTGTCGGGTAAACCCACCCAAGTCAACGTGTCTGTGATCATGTCAGAGGGAGACGGTGTCTGCTACTGAGCCACGCTGCCTGCCCTCATCCCTTAAATAAACTCTGTGCTCATCCAAAGTATCCCTGCCCTTCCATCCAGTGCCTGTCCGTGACATCATCCTTAGGGTCTATAGAACACTGGGAGGGGTCAGGGCCCAGGGAGAGAGGGACACCCACCACCTGAGTCTCTGAGGCCTCAGAGACCTGAAGACCCTTCATGCCTCGAGTATATGTGTGCCCATGTGGCTTTGTGTGTGTGCCTCTGCGTGACAAGGGGGGAGTGAGTGTGTGCGCCTGAAGTACATATATGACTATGAGTGCATATGTGTGAGTATGCCTGTATCCCCAAGAGCATGTGTGTGCCTGTGTGTACCTATGAGTATGCATGTGTCCGTCTGGGTATGCTCATGGTGGTGGAAATGCATGTGTGTGCCTGTGGGTGTGAGTGCCTGCCCTGCGGATGTGCGAGGAAGGATAAGCTGAGGATGAAATCCGAGACGAGCAGACTCAGCCAAGACAGGAAGAGCTCAGGGGAGAGTCCCAAGGGCAGTGGTTTGCTACAGAAATACTCCGAATGGTGGGTGGTTTGGCTGTTTGTGTATTGGATTGCAGCTTCTGGTTCTAGCAAGGAAAGGGTAGACTGGGCAAGAGAGAAGCAAGATCAAGACTGGCACCATCTGGGGGTCAGAGTAGGGGTGGTGACGGAATGAAGGGCTGGATTCAAGGGGCGCTTTGAAACATAAGATGCCACCCACCTACCCTCAGCGGGACGGTCTCTCTACTCTGTACACATGCACATGGGCACACTTACATTTGCACACTCACACAGACCCGAACCCTGCAGGGGGAGGAAGTTCACACCCCATAACCCGTTTCTGGAAAGCAAGGGGAGTCCCCTCCCAATCCCCCAGTAGAATTCCCAGGCCCAACCCTGAGAACTCCACACAACTCATGGACAAGGCCATAGGCTCCTCCCGGGTGGCCCCTACACCCAGCCTGTCCTTTCTAACTTAAATCTCCCTTCCCACCCTGAGCCAAGTATATCAAGCCACAAACAGGGTAGGGGCAAATCTGGGGAGGGGGCAGGAGCACGCCGTAGAGACCTCTCCCCACATAGACCTTGGCCTCCCACGTGGGCACCCCCAGAACACAAAGTCCTACAACCAGGTAACTTGGCACCAGGATGCCCACAAGAGGGCAGTGGGGCCCCTGCTCCTGCCTCACAGACCTTCAGAACATCTCCAGGAAGCTAATTTCTAACAACTTCCCTCTGCCCTCAGAGCCACAATGGAGTAAAGGACCATACACACACCCTCAACACTCTCCCCCCTTGACAGCCCAGTTCCCTGAGAATTGCAAGAGCAGCAGACCAACCTGGGAAACCTGACCCAGAAAAGTACTCCAGCCAAGGCCTGGCCTGTAACAGGGAATTCTAGAAAGGAGCCAATATGTTGAAGGGCTGAGCCCACAAAGGGGAACAGGCAGAGAAGCGTGAGGATCGCGATGGTCAGAGGAGGGGATGGCGGGTGGGTGGGTGGGTGAATGGATGGAATGACGGATTGATTGACGGATGGGTTGAATGATAGAAAGATGAGTGGTGGTCTGTGTCAGCGTATGACGAACAGTTCCCACTTCCACTTAGCGTGGAAGCTCTGCACGTTGGGACCCTGAGGGCAGCATGGGTGTCTGAGCTGGAGGTCTTTACCTGTCTATGGTCATCCCTCCCCCGAGTCACAATTCTTAATAATGCAGCAGAGTCTTTCTAGTTACATGTCCAGCCCTCGGTACGCCAACCTCAGCTCCAGAAATTGTGTTGGCCAGTATCTCTGAGGGTGTCTGGTGTTGGCCACTATCTCTTTGAGGGTGTCTGGTGTTGGCCAGCCCCCCGTGCCCGGGCCATCTTCAGCCTAAGAACTGGGGCTTAGTGAGAGATTAATAAGTATCTAGACCGAACTAAGACCCAAGTGGCCTTGGGTTCAAACTCTTCTTGAAGCCACAAAGACAGCAATGACCCTCTTGGCAGGTCATTTCTCTAATCACAGTCCCCTGAGAATGATGGGTCTTAGGGGCATCTCAAAACTGCAAGGATTCCAGTCCCTTGCTAGGAACCCCACCTCCTCATGCTCCCTGAGTAAATCTAGACCCAGAGATTAGGAATTCCTACCACCACATCCCCAAAGCACAAGGCATGGAAAGGGAAGCCTTAGGCCTAGGCACCCATTCCCATGGGTTTGGGTTTCTAAAAGATCATCTATGTCTTACAGAACATCAGGAGCCATTTCCCTGTGTGATACTGGACCAGTCCCAGGACATGCTGGAGGAAGAGACCCCGGGTGCCAGCCTGTGGCCCACCACTGTGACCTTCCTCACCCTCTTCCTACTTAGCCTATTCTACAGTACAGCACTCACTGTGACAACAGTACGAGGTCCATTTGGCAGCAAAGAGATCCCCCAGTACTGACCAGAAACCAGGCAAATGTGGCAGTCATAGAGATGGTAGGTTGTGGGGGAGCCGGGGAGAATGTCTGGTGTATGGGGGTACATTCAGGATATAACTGTCCCCTCCACATGTGGCTTTGTAACCCTTCACAGACATTAAGGAAAAGGAAGTAAAAGATGACAACACTCCCTGGATTTAACCCAAACTTCCACAAGCCAGTGCTGGGACTGTGGCAAAAAATGAAGACACAGCCTAACTTCGGGATGACACAGCCCAACTTCCAGATGACACAGCCCAACTCCAGATGACATAGCCCAACTTCCGGATGACACAGCCCAACTCTGGGATGACACAGCACAACTTCCAGATGACATAGCCCAACTTCTGGATGACATAGCCCAACATCCAGATGACATAGCCTAACTCCAGGATGACATAGCCCAACTCCAGGATGACACAGCCCAACTCTGGGATGACACAGCACAACTCCAGATGACATAGACCAACTCCAGGATGGCATAGCCCAACTCCAGATGACATAGCCCAACTCCAGGGTGACACAGCCCAACTCCAGGATGACATAGCCCAACTCCAGGATGACATAGCCCAACTCCAGGATGACATAGCCCAACTCCAGGGTGACATAGCCTAACTCCAGGATGACATAGCCCAACTCCGGGATGGCATAACACAACTCCAGGATCTCTTCTAGCTGATCACTCTTGTCTTTGCGGGGATGAAGTGTGGAGAAGGTCCCTACATTTCAGAGCTAAGACCTATGTGACAACTGCCCACCCCCCAACTCACACGCTTTCCTAAGCAATAAACTGATGTAAAAAGTACAATTCCTTGCTCTCAAAGACAAAAATTAGTAAAGGATTGGAGAAGGTCAGGGAACATATGGTGATACCAGACTAGGATATGCCTACATCATAGACTGTGGGAATGATGGGCAGGGTAGACACAGGGTGCCCATGGCCTAGTGTCTGAGACATAACTTGGACATATGTGTGGCTCAAACCAAGTGCTTGACACTGGTTTGTAGCCTCTTCAGACCTGATACCAGGTCATTATTGGGTCTGATTTCTAAACACTTGGCCATGCATGGTATTTTTCACCACGAATGAACACTGAACACCAAACCCTGATCCTGGTTCCAAACCCTGATCACTGAACCCTGATTTTGGTAACTGAACCCTGGTCCTAATCAATGACCTCCAGCATGATCATGAGTCTTGACCACCGATTGCTTGTCCTGATCCCTCATTCTAATCACTGGCCCCTGGTTCTGATCAATGACTTTTGGTCCTTATCCCTGATTAGGGGTAAGAAGCCCGGACCCTTTTCTCCTGTAAGAGAAATACTTAGATTAACAATTATGGGGTAAAACATACAAAACCCAGCAGCCCTCCTATGTACCAGATAAAAACTTGCTGAGAAACGAATTTTAAGTTACAGTAATTGTCAAATAGTCTTAATAAAAATGAAACCAAAAAAAACAATTATGGAGTAAATATTTAAGTCAGAGCTAGCCAGTAAAAAACAAGCAAGGCCAACAGCTTCATAATTAATACAGCGTCTTGTGTGTTATTTGGGAACTACAACGCAGCAGAGCCCAGGGAAAAACCAAAGCGGCTGGCAAGGAAAAGGCTTTACTCTACACCTGATCCCTGGTCCAGATCATTGAATCCTGCTCCTAATCACCGGGTCTGGTCCTTATCACTGAGCCCCGGTTTTGACCACTGACAACTAGCCTTGATCATTAGTACCTAATCTGATCACTGGTCTCTGCTCCTAATCTCTGCCCATAGTACTGGTCACTGGGTCCTGGGCAAATCACTATTCCAGATCCTTGTCAATAAGACACTTTTCCTAAAGAGTGTTCTTGGTTTTCTGTCACCAGATCCCATCCTGATCACTGGGTCTTCGTCCTGGTGACTGATGCCTGCTGCTCATCACTGGGCCCTGGCCCTCATCACTGGCTCTTGGGTATCACTCAGACCCATGGTGGTCATCACTGAGCTCTGGTATTGAGCAGTATGCTTGAGTTCTGAACACCAGGATGAGGATTAGAAAACTTGGCCCTGGTTCTGATCACTGGTTTCTGGTTCTGGTCACTAAGGCTTATTCCAGGTCCTGGACACTAGACAGGAGACTACATAACTGAGTTCTGGTCCTAGACCTGAGTCTTGTGATCTGGATCGATGGGCACTGACTTAGGCAGTGGGCCCTGGCACTTGACACTAACATCTAATCCTGAATTCCAGCCCCAATTTCTGCTTACAAACACTGGTCCTGTACCCCGGGTTCATCTCACATGCATTTGTCTCAGGCCCAAGACTACAGGGACATTGAACAAGAGGCCCCTTTCCCATCTGAAGCGCCATGCTCATTGGGAAGAGCACTGCAGGCTCAGAAGGAAGATTCCAGAGGCCCTCATCACTGTCCATACACTGGGCTGCCAGTGAGACTCTGCTCATCTGCCTTTCCCAGGGTCAGAGAGGCACGGATGGAAACAAAGCAAGCCCAGGCATGATGACCTGTGACCTCTGGTCTGGGGTCTGGAGGTCTGGGGTCAGCACTGTGGAGGAGGATTGCAGTCCCGCTGTGGGGGCAGGGCAGGGTGGGTCATGTTTGTAACCCTTGTTTTTCTTTCTTCTGAAATCTCTGTTTTCTGTCACCTGCCAAAACACTCAAAATAACCCAGAGAACTGAGGGTAGCTGAGTCATCATGAGCCCAGCTCAGCCCAGGTGCCCCAAACCAGAGCTATTGTTCTGAGAATCACACTGCACACTAGACCTGGCCAGGTGGCCCTGGGGCCTGGATGAGGGGTTGGAGCCAGGGGAGCCCTGCCGGGGACTGAGGAGAACCCAGCCCCCATCACTCAGGCCAACCAGGGCCATCCCCAGTCAGGGCTTAGTGAGGCCATGTTGTACCAGGATGAGAACAGTCCAATAAAGACCAACTATGGTCTGCCCAGGGTCACACAGAGTCAAGCAGTGTCAGCCAAGGTCAACCAAGACCAGGCTGAGGTCAGCCAGAATCACCCAGGCCACACAGGCTATTCTGACAGACAACTAGGGTAGCCAGGAGAGCAGGGCCCTGGGGATGCAGAAGGGAGATGTGCATCCCTGCCAGGCAGGCAGGTCCCTCATGCATGTGGGCTCCCTGAATGTCCCCAGATGGCAATTGGCTATAGACGGTGGGGACAGTGGCTAGCAGGCTAGCAAGAACTGTGGTTATGGCCCTGGTTATCGTCTGCAAGACTAGATGGCAAACTCGGCTAGAAGTCTGCCAGAGACCCCAGTGGAGACCGTTTGTAGGGTCCAGCTGTAGGATGAAAGCTGAACCGAGCCTTGGGGTTGAGTCAAGGACAGAAGCAATCTTCCAGACCCTGGAGGCCATGAGGCAATGGGCAGGGTGAAGTCCAGACAGACTAATGAGTAGACAGTCAGATGTGATACAGTGAACCATGTCAACAGTGAAAGACTCGGGGACACTGTGGGGTTCTCTGCCTCTGGATCTCTTGATGTATAGACCAGGGGATCAGGAGACAGGGTGGTGTGGCCATTGTCATCACAGTGTGAGGTGCCCTCCTCTTCATGGGATTCAGGTGAGGGTGTGGCACCTTTTGTTAGAGGGAGTGTGTGAAAACTTCTCAGGCATGGATTTCAGGACATGATTTTATTGATCCCATGTGTCCCAAAGCCTCAAGGCTCTTTGGTAAATTTATAGGGTGACACCTTATTTAGGGATAAACTATGTGTCAATCTGTGCCTTATGGAAGGTGATGGGCAGCTATGTTATTACATATCGACAAAGGTGTGTGATGATTCTCCACTTTCAAAATAGAGTCAAAAGCCATTTGTAAAATGAAATTCTCAGGGAAAGGTACAGTCTAAAGACCACCACTTCACCCAATATAGAGACATTTAGAGGAAGGTATGGTTGACATTAACCCAAAGACAATGAAGGGGTCCCAGAAGGCCATCAAGGGATAAAGATGTATAGAGACGATGGACAGAACAGAGACGCTCAGATGAGGTGAGAAACAACAGGAAGGAAGAGACGCAGACAGAATGAAAAGAGACAGGGACAGGGAGAGAAAGACAGACAGATGTAGGAGAGAGCGCAGACATGAGAAGGAGAGGCCAGAAGAGACAAATAGGGAGAGAGAGAGAGGAGACTGAGGCACGGCGGTGAGGCCCACCCAGCACTCAAATGAAGGCCCCAGCACACACTCTCAGAGGAAGACCATGCACCACAGAGCCAAGGGTGAGCACTCCTCAGTCACAATCGCACAGAGCAAACACCCCTTTCCATGCAGACACAGACACAGCACCAGCCTGCCTGATACAAACCTCAAACCCAGCTACCCACTCCCTCCCCTCCAGGCCTGTGTGGTCAGTGTGGGACATTGAGGGAAGCTCAGCCTGGACACCTACCACAGGACCTAGAGACCAGCATGAGCTCAGGGTCCATAGTCTCCATCCCTTGCTGGCCCTGCACCCCCGGTCATGATTCAGAGGACATCGACTGAGAGCTGGGAACACAGTCTGAGTCAGGGTGTTCTAAGGGATGGGCTCCTATCAGGACTTGTCCAGACGAGGCCCAAACACAAGGAGTGGGCAAGATCAGCTCACAGCTGAGAGTTTCCTGGCTAGTCCTGATCAGAACACAGGGAAATGGTGGCTGAGGGACTTTCTTCCTGTGGGGTCTGACCTAGCTTCTCTACCCAAGGTCACAGGTACCTTCCCAGACATTTGCTTGGTTCCTGGTAACTATGCCTGCAGGAACAGTGTTAGAAGCTAGAAAGAAACATCGCCGGAGAGACTCCGGCCCCCAGGACTGAGGAAGGGAAGATAAACGCAGAAGGGGTCAGTCTCTGGAGCCCTGAGATCCCACAGAAGAAACAGCTCACCCAGCCAGTGGGCAGAGTGTAGCCCTGGAGGACTGTGAGCAAACAGGACCACGGGCCTGCAGGGCTGCGTACATGGGAAGGGGTCCTGCTTGGGCTCCTCCTACCCTGGTCCAGGAGCAGCTGGCTGGGCAGGGGCACAGGACAGACAAAGACAGTGAGACAGGGGCACGAACGAACATTTGGGATCACATGATGGGAGCCTGGCCTGTGCTCTGCTGAGACCAGGATTGCCAACTGCCTCACAGAAAAGACAAGAGTCCAGGCCAGGAAAAGGGTCTGAGGAGGAGATGGGGCTTTGCCCACATTTGTCAAGATATTGGGTCCTGAACTTCATGGGCACAGTTCTAAGAACCAGGCCTGGCTCCTCATCCTGTGGTCCTCTCACACTGGAAGACCCATCTGAAAGGCTGGGGTTGTGGGGTGGGGGACCAGGATTGGGGCCAGGAACGCCGGGTGTCACAGCACATGCAGTATAGACAGTGCTCACAGTGCAGGTGGGGACATGCCCTGCAGTGTTCCTCCATGAAGGGACAGGCTGACACTGACCCTGAAGCCCCTAGTCCATCCATAGGACCAGCCCATACCCGGCTCTGGGTGAAACCACTGATGTTTCCCAGGCCTACAAGAGCTGGCATAGCAGCTGCAATACTGCTAGTCAGCAGGAAAGAGACCCTGGCCAGTCCAGGTGGATTTTTCTCAGCTTTGCATTCATAATAAACAGGTCCTTAGTAACAAGCAATTGTCTATTATGGTGGACAACCAGGAACAAGGGCGATAGTTGGCTTCATTTTGGGCTGCTCAGGGACCCCCTGACTCATAACTTGTAGGCAATAAGGTTTCGTTTAACACCCATATGTTTACTTTTTCCTTTTTTATTTTTCTTGCTTTAGGGTCTCTGTGAAGGTCTGCCTGTCCCTGAA